AGTCCCTGACAGAACTTTTGAATCCATAGTCAAGAGTATGGCTTCCCCTGAACCACGAGAGATAGGGAAGAATGTGGAGAGGTGGCCCACTCGGAAGACAAATTGGGTTGTTTCACCTTGTCCTGGAGTTACAGTGATAGTGGTTTCGAACCCATGCTTTGTCACTTACTAGCCAGGTAACCTTGGACAAGAGACCTGGAGCCTCTCTGGACCTCAGATGATCCATCTGTGACATATGTTTTGCATGGCTATTGTAAAAATTACATTAATATGCGTGGAGCCCCTAACACAGAGTAGAAAAAACCCATTGCCATTGAGTCCATTCTAACTCATAGGGACCCTGTAGGACAAAGTAGAACTTTCCTATAGGGTTTCCAAGGCTGTAATCTTTATGGAAGCAGACAGCCACATCTTTCTCCCGCAGAGCAGCTGGTGGGTTCCAACTGCCAGCCTTTAGGTTAGCTGCTGAGTGCTTAACCACCGTGCCACCAGGGCTCCTTCAGGCACAGAGTAGATGTTTAATAAATGGTTGCTACTGCTATCCTGTGAAGCCCTGGTGGCGCAGTGGTTACAAGCTTGGCTGCTAACCAAAAGGTCAGCAGTTTGAATCCACCAGCCACTCCTTGGAAACCTTATGGGACAGTTCTACTCCATCCAGTAGGGTCACTACGAGTCAGAACTGACTCGACAGCAATGGATTTGGTTTGTTTTTTTTGGTACTGCTGTCCTTAAAGATGTTAACTTTAAGGATTAATGAGCTCCTGACCCAAGCCATGGTGTTTTCAGTTGCCTCATATACATTTAAAAGCTGGACAATGAATAAGGAAAACCGAAGAATTGACACCTTTGAGTTATGGTGTTGATGGAAAATGTTGAATATACCATGGAGTACCAGAAGAATGAACAGATCCATCCTGGAAGAACTACAACCAGAATGCTCCTTAGAATTAAGGATGGTGAGACTTCATCTCATGTGTTATCAGGAGGGACCAGCCCTGGAGAAGGACATCATGCTTGGTAAAGCAGAGGGTCAGTGAAAAAGGGAAGACCCTCACTGAGATGGATTGACACAGTGGCTGCAACAACGGGCTCAAGCATAGCAACGATTGTGAGGATGTCGCAGGACTGGGCAGTGTTTCGTCCTGTTCAGTTGCTATGAGTTGGAACCGACACCACAGCACCTAACAACAACATCCTTATTGTCATTTTTATTATTATCATTGTTGTCACTACATCCGTATAGTTGTTACAGATTACAGAGCACTTTCACATATGTTCTTACTGAAGTAAAACAGATTTCAGCTCAGGTAACTCCCATACACTCGTAACTTCCTCTGCCGTAGCCCTGGAAAGGCCACACTGTCATTACAGTGGTGGATCTACCCATCCCATTAGACTGTGAGCTCCTTGAAGAGGAGCTCTGTGTGCCTGGTGCAGGCGGACTCCGGACTCCATCTCCATGGATCATGGACCGGCGTGAGGAAGCTCGTCTCACAGCCAGAGCTCTTCAGAAAGAGAGTAAGTGGCTTCAAGAAGATGTGAGCTCCCCATTGTTGAGGATATGGCAAGGACCACCTGGCAGGGATGCTGTTGGGAAGTGGCTGAGCTGGCTGGAGGCTGGCTTCGAAGAGCTGGTCTCCAAGCCCTGCTTTAGATTCTGTTCATGTTTTCACTGGATGAAGCTGTTCTGATATCCTCTCAGTTCACTCAGAGGAGTATTTGTGTCCATCGGAGCACGTGGACCCAGTGCAGAGGGAGCCCAGCATGCTCTGCTTGGGGACTCCAGCTCTTTCTGCTCCCACTGTGCTTCCAGGCTCACAGGGCTCTCCTCAGCTCAGGAGGTGAAACTTTTCAAGTGTTAAAAAATTTTAAAAGACGGTTTTTCTATGGAAGAGTACTTTTTTTAAAAAAACACCACATTCATCCTAAACGATTCAGCAGCATATGCTATATAGCCTTTTGGATTTACGTTGTCTCTTTCAGTGAATAAAAACTTCAGTGCCCCTAGCTCAAGAGTTCTGCAAGTTCACATTATGTAAATATATGTAATAAAATATTTACTTAGCGTTTCCATAAAAAAGGTCCAAAGCAGAGAATAAGAGCGCTTCTCTGTGCTGGTTGTGCAGCCTCTGCTGGGAATGCTGAGGGAAATTTAAGCTTCTCGAATGTGTTTTGATTGGCCTCCTTTGTGTTTTATCTCCTGTAATAAACTCTTCGTCAGTTTGTCAATTTTGACTAAGGACAGAAAGTTCATTTGTAGTAACAACATACAAACTGAATTTAAAATTATGGTTTGTATCATGATATAATAATCTTCTCTCTTTTCCTTTAGTCAGTATTTACCTGTGAGGCCAATATATTATAGTTCTGACTTAAACAGAAGACACTTTATTTTACTTCTCCGAGTGTTGGTTTTAGATACTTGTGATAGCAAACCTGGAATTTGATCTGTCTGAGACTTCTAGCCGCAGTCCCTTGGGATTGGCTTCCTTGATCACCACCCGGCAGGTTTCACTGCTCCCAGCGACCCAGCAACTGCAGTGCCCAGAACTGAGGCAGCTGAACTCGGAGCCACACAGCTTTCTCCAGCTTTGCAAACCGCCCTTTCCTCTGTAGGAAACAGGTCTATCAATTATCCCACCGCAGCCGGGACCTCTTAGGTGGACTTGAGTTTTCCCTAATGGATTAATGTTACAGGATTGGGCAGGAAAACTCAAGGGTCTGAGTGCCTGGTAGGAGGGTGGTCTCTGGGTGTGGGGCTATGGGGAATTGGAAATTCTGCTGGTCTGAACCCCTTATTTTAAGCACCCAGTGTTTAATCATTTTTTTATTTTAAAAAATGAGGGAAGAATGATCCCCCTGTGAAAAAGGAGTAGGAGGATAAGAAGTAGCTGCAGAATTTGCAGATACAGTGCATGATACCTTAGAGCTGTGTTAATGAGCCATTCTGAGCCAACGTGTAGACCCGTCAAGACTCTTCGAGTGAGTCATAACCAGGAGGGAATCAATTGCTTTGTGAACTGCCGAGTTCACCAGTAGACTACTTTCAGGTTCAGCTGGATCCCAGAGTTCAAACGAGGTCATCATGATTCTCTATTTCTTAGACCTGTTTTTTCCGGTATTGACACAATTATGTGGCAAAGCTGTTTCCTGGCACTCCAGGCTTACATGGTCTTTAGTGTCTGGAATCCCAGGACAAAGACCTTCTTTCCTAAAGTCTGTATCAATCCTGAAAACAGACTCAGAAGAAGTCTACCTGGGTCGCATACCTATGCCTGGACCAGTCACTGTAAACAGAGATGGGATACAGCAGCATTGCCTCGAGCACAATTACATGTACGCAAACTCACCTCTGTGCTCGTATCTTCAGCTTGCTTCTGTCCACCCAGGCTGTGCTCTTCAAACCATGTATTTATTTTACATGCATGCTCTTTTTTTATATCCTCTCCATTTTGTGCATTTTCATATATAGATATACATACACACATATACACACGTTACTACATTTTATAGATGATTTATGGGATGTTCAGGGTTTAACCTTAAATTTATAACCTAACCACTCCTCCCAACCCCACTTAAGGTGCAGTTCCACCACAGTTGGCTTGATCAGCCTGGCTCGTGTGACCACCTCTGCAGAAGGTTTGGTAGGGAAGGCAGGGCCTGTCGATAACTCCACGAGGAAGGGAGGAAAGAGCAGTTCCAGAAGGATAAAAAAAAAAGAAAGGTCTCTTATCAGAAAGGCAACACAACAGACAGTAAACCAATATAGATTCATTCACTCCGCCAGTATTTACTGATGCCTGTTGTGTGCCAGGCACTCTGCTAGGCCCTGGGCATTCAACAGTGGACCTTACACAGAAGGCCTGCCTTGCTGACTTAAACGCTGTAGGGAGGGAGGCCGCCAGCGAAGGTGGAAGCCGGTGAAGATGGGCTGTAAGATCTGGCAGTGACGAGAGCTCTGAAGGAGAGACGCCCCCACCACTAGGTACAGATGAGGGCCTTTAATACCTGCAGGGTGGCTAGTCTCTTCTTGCTTTGGGATTTTCTTTCAGTTGACCGTTATAAGGAGGATTTTGACAGGCCGATCCTGCTGAGGAGATTATTCCAAGCGCAGGGAAAAGCATGAGCCTAGGAAGCCTCTGAAAAGGAGCCTTGGTGGCACAGTGGTTAAGTGCTTGGCTGCTAACCGAAAGGTCCGAGGTTCGAACTCACCAGCTGCTCTTCAGGAGAAAGATATGGCAGTCTGCTTCCATAAAGATTTACAACCTTGGAAACCCTATGGGGCAGTTCTACTCTGTCCTATAGGTCTCTGTGAGTTGGAAGCGACTGGATGGCAGTGGGTTTGTTTGTTTATTTTTTTTAGCGAGCCTCTGAATGGGGTGAGGTAAGATAAGTTCAGGGAGCAGATGGAGGTTTCGCATGAAGCTGCATAAAGAGCGTGTGGAGGATGGGTCGCAAGACCGAAAAGTGGATTGGGGTAAGATCATGCAAGGACATGAATAACAGGCTCAGGAGTGACGTCATCGAATCCCTGTTTAGAAAGGTCACTAGCAGCAGTGTGGAGGGCTGAGTAAGAGGGGCAGAGTCAAGGCAGGGAGGCCAGGTGTGGGACTGAATAAGTGCTGTGGCTGGTGGGATTGAGTGTGGGATTTTCGGATTAACCTACTCTAATGGCCTGAAACGATTTATTCTTCATCCAAAACAAGCCAGGCCTTCTTTTGCAAGCCCATTGATGTTTACTTAAAGATAAGAAACTTTGGAAATGGGAAACATCTTGTGAAAATGGTTAATCTTGTTTATTCGGGATAAAACTCCTGTAATCTTTTGGTGTACAGTCAGGGATGGAACAATAGTGCTGATCACAGCAGACTGAAAATACAGTCCTGTACCTCAGTTCCGGCACCCTCGATGAGGGACTCGCGTCCGTGGAAAGGATTCTCCAGAGGTCTTGCCCTTGTCTTCCCCACAGGCTGACGGTCCTTCTTCTGCATTCACAGGCAACTTCGAAGTGGGCGTCCACATCGCTGACGTGAGTTACTTCATTCCCGAAGGATCGGATCTGGACAGAGTGGCTGCCCAGAGGGCCACCAGTGTCTACCTGGTGCAGAAGGTAAACCTCAGTCTCCAGTTTCTCGGACTGCAAATTGTGTTTCTGGTTAAGTCTTCTGTGTTTTGTTTCCCTTTTCCCCCCCAAAAAAAAAACCACCCATGAGAAACAGCAGCCTTGTCTAGACATTTTTTCTCACTGCTAATAAGGTAAAAATATGACAATATTCTAAAAAAAGAAAAAAAGATTTCTCTAGAAAAGTCCTTGCCCTGTTACCGCGTTTGTTCCTGTTAGGCCCCTGTATACTCAACAGGAACCAAACTGAAGAGAGGCCAGAGGAAGTCAAGGGTGCTCGTCTCTGGCTTCACACTGACCCTGCCACATGAGTAATCAGACAAGTGGTCAGCTTCAGAACGAAATGAGAAAAAATACCTGCTTTCAAACTCGTACCCCAAAGCAGACATCAGAAGAGTGCAGCCCACCCCAGCCACTGGTTTTTTATAAAGTTTTATTAGAACACAGCCACACCCATTTCTGTCCTGTCTATGGCTGCTTTCATACTACAGCAGAAGAGTGGAGTGGTTGCCACAGAGCTCACATGGCCCACAAGGCCTAAAAGATTTACTATATGGCACTTTAAGAAAAAGTTTGCTGACCCCTCTTCTAAAGGATGTGGGGTGGGGGTGGGGGGCTAATCTGGGTCTGACCTGCCCTTTATAAGATAAACCACTGCATCCCAGCGATGGAAAAGCAGAGGGAGAGGAGGAGCCCTAGGCTGTTGTGCTAGTCCTGGTAAGTCACTGAGGCTCTGTAGGCTCATTTGTGAAGTGAAGTGATTGAACACAATCATCTCAAAACGTTCCTTCCAGTCTGCGCACCTGTGCCTGGCACATCCATAAGGTAGCTGTGAGCATCCATTGCTTTAACAAGTATTTATTGAGCATTAGTGACCTGCTGGACACTACTATGCCCTGGGGACCATGGCGACTAAAAGATCACAGTTATTTCTAACCCACTCACTACAGCTCATGGATTCCTCCAGGTTTCTTTCTCCGCCTTTGACACTCTTTGTTCATCTGCTCATCTTAACTCTTTGGCTATATCTCGACTTGCATTTCCTGTTGAGCTCCTTGAATTCAGTGGTATAATTTGGGATTGCTACCTACACTAACTTGAACCTTCCCTCCTCCCAGTCTCGACACCTTAAAACTTGACTTTGGGTATTTGCTCATTGACTGCACTCAGGTAAGAGGTATATCCCCACCACCCACCCACACATACCATGACATTCTAGGGGCTGGATAATACCCTTTGCCTGTCTCCTATCTCTCAGGGACAAGAGACCAGCCCAAGTGCTAAACCTCCTCCATTCTGGGAACTTCCAATGTCACCATCTAGGGAGAGGGTACAGCTGCCCAGTCTACCTGCACTACCTGGTCTGGTTGGCAGCTCCCACTGTCACCGGCTTGCATGCCCACACAGCTGGTGCAGGAAAAGCCAGGCCCTGAGCTCAGCCTCTCCCCCCACCTTAGTGCAGCTGGTGCTTTGGGCCCTTGTGCTTCCAGCTACTGCCTCTCTAACTCCTGGAGAAGCTTGCCCTGCTGCCTGCTCCAGACAGAGCTGGTTAGCAGGGTACCAAGCTCCAGGTGTGAGAAAACCACCAGCATGAGGATCCTGGAGAGGCCCAGAGAGGTGATTCCACGAGCCCTGACCTCTCAACCTATAGGTCTTGGCACGGGCATTAAGACACGTCTATGAGACAGGCATTCCTCTTCCCTTAGTTATTGCTGACCTCACTTCACTCCCCCACCCCTTTCTAAACAAGGGAGAAACTCACGCTCCCAGCCATCTGAGCTCTCACTCCCTACTGTTCCCCAGAATGGGCTGGCCCTTGTGTGGTTGTGCTGTGTCTAGACTCTGGCAGGGCAGGCCACTGGGAGTCTGTGTACTGCTCACCCTACAGAGGCCCCACCCCTAGGGCTCGTCAGCCCGACCCCATTCTATTCTATTGCCATCGAGTTGATTTCAACTCATAGCGACCCTATAGGACAGAGTAGAGCTGCCCCATAGGGTTTCCAAGGCTGTAATCTTTATGGAAGCAGTCTGCCATATCTTTCTCCCTTGGAGCGGGTGGTGGGTTCAAACTGCTGACCTTTTGGTTAGCAGCTGAGTGCTTAACCACTGCGCCACAGGGCTCCTTGGGCCCTGGCCATAGAGAAGGATGAGTCTCATCCCAGCATCACTAAAGGGAGCAGTGGATCTTTTTAAGAGTCGTGTTTCCCTGGATTCTGTATTTTCCCAGCTGGAAGTCTGACAACTTTGCCAGCTACTCCGTGGCAGTTCTGCCTACTAGATGGCCCTGTGGCACTCTGCCATACCCTCACCTTCCATCACACCACTGCCCAGGTTACCCACTTACCAGACCAGCTGCCAAGAGAGTGTTCAGACAGAGAGACAGAGGAGCTGTGCCCCTACTCCAAGGACGTCATCTGGGGCCCACAACTTGTACTTTCTGTTTGAGCCTGAAACCCAGGCTCTCCACAAATAGAGGCATCCTCTTTGTTAGGGTTTCTGAGTCTGTCCTTATGTCCTGTGGAGCCCACTTCTTCCAAGGCAACTGTAGCTTCAACATGGCCATCACCCCAGGTTCCCACCCTTTCCTCAGATCCCAGGCCTCACCATACCTGGCAGCACATGTGACATGCGGAAGATGGACTTCCAGACATACCTCTGCCAGGTCAAATAAATCAGAATATCATTTGGCCTTTGAGTGCCCCAGCCATGTGCTAGCAGTAAAACCACAGAATCTTTACTGAACAGAAAGGTTATCATAACTGATGTGATCATTTATTTCTCCAGCCCAGCCTTCTACAGATCCTCCAACACTCCTCGCCTCACACACATGGTCCTGGACCACTCATAACTGCACAGTCTTCATGCCGACCCAAAGAAGAGTGTGTTCTAGAATCCCTCGGCTCCAATTTCTAGCAAAGTGCCCACACGATGCATGCAAGGTGTCGGCTGTTCTGGAACAGAAGTCCTCCAGGACACTGTAAAAGTATCAGAGATTTCTGGTATCTTTCCAGTGTTACTGAGAGTTTCTTTCATGTTTCCAACCTAATCCACCCCAATAACTAACCTGTCGAAAGGGACTAGAGGGGAGAGAGTCTTCGGGAACTCTCTGTATTTTTTACATAATTATTTTGTAAACCTAAAACTACTCTAAATAAATTCTATTGAATGGAGCCCTGGTGGTGCAGTGGTTAAGCAGTCAGCTGCTAACCAAAAGACTGGCAGTTCGAATCTACCAGCCACTCCTTGGAAACCCTATGGGGCAGTTCTGCTCTGTTCTATAGGGTCGCTATGAGTTGAAATTGATGGCAACAGATTTTTTTGGTTTTTATTGAATAAATAAATAAGAAGGAACTCTTCTAGGTCTTGACTGCAGCCATGTCCTTTAGGGGCTGGAGATCCTATTGCCTGTAGCCCAAATTTTGCTCCCCACATCTAGCCCAGCCTGACAGTTGACAGTGATGTCATCAACCCCATGGCGAGGTTACCCTGTCTGGTACCCTCTGCTCCCGCTCTGGTGGGAGCTAGCCCTGATGGGCTTCCTTGTCCCAAATGGGAGCCAGAGCTGTCATCTGCCACATCTGTCTTCAATATGTGGAGGCCCTCCCTACAGGACCTAGCCCTTCCCCTCCCCTGCCTCGTAACAGTACTCTCTGGATCATACAACCTAGAACATTTGGACAAAACCCTAGAGCTCCACCTGCCCCAAGAGACTTGGACAGCTGGTTTTTTTCAGAGATTTGGCTTTACCGGCCACTCATACTAGGTGTTCAGAACCATCATAAAAGTGCTTTCTGCCATCTCAGAAATGAGAATACTGGGAGGAAGGAGAGATGAAGTTGATTAGAACTGTGAAATTCTGAGTTAGAAGCTGCACGATGGTCCAAACCCAGTTACAACGAACAAAGTATGGCATGGGAAGTAGGCGGCCTGTATGCACAGTGGTGCCTAAGAGATCCAGAACCTTCAGGGACCATTCAACAAGCATGGCTAGCAGTATCCTCATCTGAGGAGGGGAGTTCCACACCAAAGACTTTGCCTGTGTTAGACTATCTAGTGGCCTCTGTGGCCTGTTCAAACTTAAATGAAGTGTTTAAGACCTTCTCTTGGACCCCTGTCCCACCAAAGTCAGTGATAGCTGTGCCCAAGCCTTGGCAGATAATATGTGACTTAAGGGAATGTAGCACAAACGTGTGACCCATAAATGTCCCTGAACATCAACACACTAGGCTTCCTCCCTGACCTCCCTTCCCATCTACAGGAAACTGAGGCCATGACCATTTCGTTGCTCTCTATGTGAATAGCTCACTTGGAGCACAACTCCAGAGTGCTGGCCTTCAGTTTGTGTTTATGTTGGTGTTTTTGGAGGGCCTGTTCAACACTTTTCAAGTTGATGGCCCCCTGACCTTGTCCACAGCCAGGGAGGATCTATCAACCTGGTACCAGAAGAATTAGCTTTGTCGTTATTACCCCCTCCTACCAACAGCATTCTTTGTCCATGATTTTCTTCATTCCTCTATTTAGCATCCCTGTCCATAGTAACTGTAGCTTCAATTCTGGGCTCCCTGAGCATAGGGTAGCCAGCCAATGCCTGAGGAGCCTTGAGTTGTCTATAAGGGCCCTGGATTTTCTGGCAGGCCAAGGATGGGAATGAGGAATACTCCAGCCATCCCTGGGTCTCACAAAGGATGTCCACACGGAAGACACTGTTTGACTCTCCTCTATGTTCATGCACACCATCTGCTAGCACCAAGAGCTCGAGGACCTATACCCTGGACTTTTGCAAGTGCCAAAGGTCATTGACTCCATGACCTTCCAACTTCACCCACTCCTCCTTCATCCACTGCCAACTTTGTCTACTCCTCCATGCTATGTCCAGTTTACCAAGACCTGCTTGGCAGCTGGAGACAGAGAGTCCATGTATGTTCTAGTTTGGGACACCTGGCAATGCCACAACTCATTGGCATTTGCTTTACTAGGAAGAGTGTGAGAAAGACAGGAAACCCAACTCTCACCTGTGGAACCCACCAGGATGTCTAAAATAAAAAGACAAAGCACCAAGTGTCTGTGAGGATGTGGAATTCTGGGAGCTCTCACCACTGTGGGGAGGTAAATTGGTACAACCACTTTGGAAAACTGTTTGACAGTATCTTTTGAAGCTGAATACATACATACCTCGTGGCCCAGTAATTCTCCTTCTAAGTACAAACCCAACAAAATGCATACATATATTGCAAAAAGAATGTACAAGAATATGTGCTGCAGCACTTTTCGAAATTGCTAAAAAACTAGAAACTCTTCCAGTACTCCTGAACTGTAGAATGAATAGATAAATTATGGTATATTCACTCAGTGGCATGCTGTACAATAATGAGAATGAACGCAAACGTAATGGTGAAAGAGACCCGACACAGGGATATACACTGTATGATTCCATTTATATAAAGTTCAAAAACAGGCAAAGCTAACAAATGCTAGGAGAAGTCAGGAGAGTAGTTACCCCTGGGGGAAGGAGGGCCCAAGTGGGGATTCTGGGGACTCTTGATCTGGGTGCTGCTTATCAAATGAGCGTTCAGTTTGTGGAAATGCATCAGACTTTTCATTTATGACTTGTTCCCTTGTCTATATGTGCAAAGTCACTATATTCACAAGTTCTTAGTGAAAAACCATTTGGAGCCGAGCACAGACCAGACAGTTCTAATGGCATGATCAACAGGTGTTTATCAGTCACTGAGTAAATAGGAGAGGGGTGAGTAGAACAGCACACATCATCATCAGCCTAGGTCCCCCAAAGTTAGGCTCTGGTCCACAGGGTTGGATCGCCTCCAAGCACACCCTGGCTCACGTATGGGGAGGAGAACAGCTAAGTGCTTCTCTCCCAGGATTAAATACTGATCGGACAGCCATGTCTATGTGTCAAATAGTATGTACAGAGAATAGGTAGGGGGAGGGGCAATAAAAGGAGAGTAATAAAAGGTAAAAGAGGGTAATAAAAGCGAAAAGCCGCCTGCAGGCAGTGGACATCGTTTATTGCCCCTGTTCAGAGTGGGCTAGATTTACTGGCGCCAGAGAACAACCCTTCTTCCTTTACTCCACTAAGAGAGAGTTTTGGTTTCTTCAGAGGGCAGTCATCTCTCCCTAAAGCACGTACTTTACTTTTGTCCATTAGTAGCTCTGATGTCCCTTAGCCGCTTGGAAGATGTTGAGGGGGCAGTTACAGCACATCTCTGCATTCAGCAATATGTATGGCATACTTAAAAAACATAAGTAAAAAAATTTGAAGGTTTTTTTGGGGTGACTATCACTCCACTTTGGCTCCTTCTGGTATATAGACCCAGTGTACCTACGCAAAGGAACCACATCAAAATCCAGGCACCTCATTCATATCTCGACCCTCCTGAGAACACAGTTTTGAAATTTGTACGTGAACTCCACTTAGATGACCTCAGGTTGGAGACATCCCATGCTCACTTCCTGCCCGAAAGTGCTGGTGGCCAAACCCAGCCTTTGCCTGGCCCAGGGCCTCTGAGAGAAAGGAGATGAGACCTCAACATCTCCTTTATCTATAAAAGCATAATGTTACGATGGAAGAGAAATGAAAACAGTCATCTCCTAAACTTTAAAGACCATGTCAAGTGAGTAAATGTGAATTCTTCTCCCCAGTTGGAAAAGTGGAACTGTGTGCTTCTGAGTTGAACATTTAAGAGTCTTAGACACAATTAGAGGCTCTTCCTCTAAGTAGGTGGCTTTCTCCTAACCAGCTACTATGTTCTCCTTTTAACCTGGAATTCTATTTTAAAATAAGAAAATGAAAAAATAAAATTGGTTTAAATAACTAGGCATGCTTCCGTCTCTGTTCCCTTTATTTTGGTTTTGTGATTGTCACAGTTGTAGAATTTCTCCTTGGGACTGGGGAGCTGGGGCTCAGTCCTCAGCTCGGAGCTCAGGGCTGTGGAGGAAGGGCCGGTGTCTCTCTGCTGCCAGGACTGCCTCCATCCTGGCAGGCGCACTGAGCACCGCCCGCAACCTTGGACAGCAGCAGCTGTGCATTTGGATTCCTTTAAACCACTGCTCTGACCTTTCTTCCTACTCGTTTTTGTTTCTGAAAGGACTGTGTCCAGGAACTTTTCTGCTGTTTTCACTTTACTCTGCCTGTAAAGATCTTCTTAAAAGCTGGAGGAGCCACATTTCCCTTCCAGATACTCTGCTGTCTCGTTTGCCAAAATCCTTTCCCCCAGCCTCATCACAAGGGAGAAGGAGCCGTGTGTCAGGAGTAGGGGTGTGCTGGTTGAGTTAACGCATCTGTTGTGAATGCAGCACTGGTTTCTTTTAATTCTGGTCCTTCTGACCTGTGACTGATGCCGGAATTACAGTCTAAGCTGATTCGAGGAATTATCCAGTAGATTTGGACAGTACACAGTGAAACAGACCATCTTACTCTCTTTTAAATGAAATTCTTTTTTGTTGGGACTTTGCTCACAATAATATTTGGTTACTCTTGTTAGCAAGAAGGTATACTCACAGACTGGAGAAACCCCGAGAGTATGGCCCCTGGACACCCTTTTAGTTCAGTAATGAAGTGACTGCCGAGGGTCACCCTTCAGCCGAAGATCAGACAGCCCCATAAAACAAAACGAGACTAATGGGGCACAACAGACCAGGGACAAGGACTAG